AGTCCCCAGGTCTTGCCACACTGCTGGCCAACTAGGTCTTCCCCCATTAGGAATAATTTTTAAATGTTTTTATTATATTCTGTATTTTTCAAATTTTCTTCCAAATAGACACTTATCAGAAAATCAAAAGAAAAACATAGACAGCTGGATATTAGTCCACCAAAAAAGAAAGCAATCCCAAGTACCAATCTCCAACGAGCACACTCAGATACTGTCCCTCCAGAGAGGGGCCTCTTTCTTCATCTACTGTTTGGATGACAGACATCAGTAGAAGTCATGCTGGTTTCCAGAATTGTTTTCAATCATAGCTAAAAAATGCCACAAAAACCATACTGAACTCCTGGCATCCATAGGTACTACCAAGTGGATCAGTGCTCAGCCTAGCACATGTTAACACAAACACCTCAAGGATAGGTTTTATAATGCCAGTGACAACCCCATACCAGATTCAGCAGGCATTCTGGGAACTGAGGTCCTGGGCCCAGACCACCACCTAGCTTCAGTGCTCAATTGCCAAAAGTGAAGGATTCAGCCGGATATTCGGTGGAGATATTTTTAGGGGGCTGGAACATCACTAAGGATATCAGAGTGGACACTCATTCATGTAGCGTCCCCTCTACATGGAGCTGTGGAAAAGATATATACCAGTAGATGGTTACGCTAGGACAGCATTGGTCTTCTTGTTAGGTGCTATCAGGTCAATTCTAACTCATAGCTACCCTATGCACACCAGAACGAAACACTACCTGGTCCTGAAACAATCTCACAATTGTTATATTTGAGCCTATTGTTGCTATCATATGTTAATCCATTTTGTTGCGAGTCTTCCTCTTTTTCATTGAACTTCCATTTTCCCAAGCATGATTTTCTCCCGGGACTGATTCCTCCTGACAACATGTCCAAAGTATGAAAGATTAATTCTTGCCATGATTGCTTCTAAGGAGCATTTTGGCTGTATTTCTTCCAAGACAGATTTGGTTGTTCTTCTGACAGTTCATAGTACTTTCAATATTAGACAGTACTAGCAGTATGCTTTTCTAGCAACATGTTTTTGGCACTGGAAATAAAAGGCCAGGCTCATTAGTTGCAAATACACTGGGAGCCTTGAAAATCAGTCATAAGCTTGGTCTTGACCCTTTGTCTCCTGGCCAGGGAATGGCCTAGGGGACCTATTTGCCAGACGTAGCCCCTCTTTCACAAAAGAGCCTGAGGACTTGGGAGACAATAGAATGCTCCAAGATCCTGTTGCCTCCACATACTTTCCACTCATGCATTGCGAGCCTGAGGACTTGGGAGACAATAGAATGCTCCAAGATCCTGTTGCCTCCACATACTTTCCACTCATGCATTGCCATGGAGGTACGGCAGGGTTGCTGGGCAGCTGACTGGTGGTCTCCTATGCCATCTCAGCAAGCTAATGCTTGGCCTGTGGAGGAACCAAGGAGATTTCCATAGCAGGGAGGCTTCCTCTGCATTCTCACTCTATACTGCTGAGCTCACTCACATCCTGGCAGGCCCCAGCACCCAGCAAATGCTTCCACCGCACTTCTCACCAAGGTGTGACAAGTGTACCTTGGCAGATGTCCTAGCTGCTTCATCACCCCACCTTATACCAAGTACTCTGAGTCTCCTGATACCTTGGGTACAGTTTTGCAAGCAGGACATTTGCAAGCACGACATTTGCAAGCACCCAAGGGTGTGCATTTCTGACTCTTGTGCTGGTCCTTGGATTCCCTGCTCAGCCAGTCTGTCCCACCACCACCACCACCACTCCCCGCTCTAATTCCCAACCCAGCTTATTTGTGAAAACCAAACATGGTAATTGAATCACCAAGCACCCATGTCCTGATTCTGCTTCCCTCCAGCCACACCTCCCAGTCTTCTCCCCAATCCTTTCATTGCCACCAATAAGCAGGCCTCCTTCTGCTCCCTCCCAGCACTAAGCCCAGCCCCACCCCACCCCCACTGCACCAATAGCCCATCCCCAGGGCCCATTGCTGGCTCTGTGTTTTCATTTGGATCTGAACAAGTGTCATGTTGTTGTTGTTAAGTGCCGTCGAGCCGGTTCAGACCCATGGCAACCCTGAACAGGGTTTCCGAGGCTGTAAATCTTTATGGGAGCAGAAAGCCTCATCTTTCTTCTGCGGAGCAGCTGGTAGTTTCGAACTGCTGACCTTAAGGTTCGCAGCCCAATTCATAACCACTACACTACCAACAAGTGTCATAGCCTTGGCAAAACAGTACCTGGTCACCACTACTGCAAATGGTCCTTGCACTGCTACCTGAGTTCTTCTGTCTGGATAGTGTTTCTTATTTCATTTATCACATGTAAGCTCCAACAAGCAGTCCTGGTGTGGCACTGCTGATTACATGCGCTGGACTGCAAGGTCGACAGTTCAAGCTCACCAGGCGCTCCTTGGAAACCCTATACAGGGTTACTGTGAGTCCAAAACGACTAAGCAAGAATAGTAACAACAGAGCTCCAGCCAAAGTAAACTGCTGGTACTTGAGGACCTAGCAGGACAAGGCAGTTTCTGGAAGGCACGTAGCAAACACTGGTAAATTAATTAAACAAAGGAATGAATAGGTCATATGTTCTTCAACAAGTAGGTCTTGACTTGAGTCCAACCATGAGAGAAAGGACCAGGTCTCTCAGGGGCTAAGTTTGGTCACTTTTTGGGAAGTCAGGGAGCCATGTGTGTAGAGCAAACAAAAATTATGTGGGCTGACTTGTTCTGCCTGTTTTTAGCACAGAGGTCAAGAGATGTGGCTGTGTCAGGAAAAGTGCCTCATGCTGTTTTTCCCATTTTTTATGAAATATAGGTCTCCCACAAGTAGAACATGGCAAAAGTTGAAGAACTCCACCCACCCATCTATCTATAAATTCGTCTTAGTCATGTAGTGCTGCGGTAACAAAATAATACCAAGAGTGGCTTTAACAAACAGAAATTTACTTTCTCAATTTGTTGTTAAGTTCTGTAGAGTTGGTTCCGACCCACAGCGACCTTATATAGGGTTTCCGAGGGATGGCTGGTGAGCTCGAATTGCAGATCTTGAAGTTCAAACCAACCTTGCAGTCCAGCTCATTAACCCACAGAGCCACACCAGGACTCCTTTCATAGTTTGGTGGTGATGGTGGTTATGTGTCGTGGAGTCGGAACCGACTCATAGCGACCCTGTACAGGGTTTCCAAGGCTGTAAATCCTTACGGGAGCAGAAAGCTTTATCTTTCTCCTGCAGAACAGTTGGTAGTTTCGAACTGCTGACCTTAAGGTTCACAGCCCGATTCGTAACCACTACACTACCAGAGCTCCTTTTCATAGTTTAGGAGGCTAGAAATCTGAATTCAGGGTGTTAAGTCTAAAAGAAGTCTTTCTGTAAGTTCTGGGGGAAGAGCCTTATCCCTTCAGGTTGTTTCCTGGTTCCTTGGAGATCTCAGTGTGGCTTGGCCTCAGTCTCACGCTGTCCCCTCAGTCTCTGCTCTATTGCTGATATAATCTTTTATATCTCAAGAGACAATGACTCAAATATATACCCTACACTAATCCACCCTCATTAACCTAACAGAGACAAACCATTCCAAATGGGTCCATGATAGTTCTCTACTGGTGTTATAACAAAAATACCACAAGTGGGTCGCTTTAATAAACAAGTTTTATATTCTCACAGGATAGGAGGTTATGAGTTTGAATTCAGGGCACTATCTTAAGGGGAAGGCTCTTTGCTAAGAGGAGAGGTCTTTGTCTCTTTTCAGCTTCTATTTCTCGGCTCCTTAGTGATCTTCATGGGATATTGATTGGCATTTACCTTCCCTTATCTGTGCTGGAGTCCTGGTGTTGCGCCATAGGATAAACATTCAACCTCAAGGTCTGTCTGAACTTCAAGGTCGGTGCTTCAAACTCACCAGCTGCTCCTCAAAAACCCTCTATAGGGTCACTATGAGTCAAAACCCACTAGAAGCCATGCAACAACAGCATCTGTGCTTGCTTGATCTCTTTTTGCATCTAAAAATAGATCAATTTAAAACTCACTCTATGCTAATATTTCCACATTAAAATAACTTATCCCCAAATGAAAGTAAAACCACAGGTATGGGGATAGAGTTTATAACACATATTTTAGGAGGCCATAATTCAATCCATAGCACCACCCAACACCAATCTAAGCCACCCATCCACTCATCCATCTATGAAGACAACCATCTAGCCGCCTACCCATCTAGCTACCAATTTGTCAATCTACACTGAGTATGTACCACATACCAGGATCTGTAGTTGGAGCTATGTAGAATAAAGCTTTACCAGGCTTGCTCCTTGCCTACAGGACTCTCATCAAGTGATTAGATTTGTCCCCAGATAATTCCAAAAGGAGACACCACACAGGGGTCCCAGGTGCCACAGGGATTCTGGGTAGTGTAGGGCAAAGAAAAGAGGGATATAGAAGACAGTCACAAAGGCACAAAGGATAGCACCAATCTACTTACAAGTAAGAAGGCAAATGAGGTCTGAGGACCACTGTATGATCCAACTCAGTTGGGGACAAGTGGAGAAGGCAGTCAAAGACAGTGGCTGGCCTCAAGGCTCAGGCTGAGACAAGCTTCTGACACCTTGAGGTTATGTCTTGTCCAGTGTACCCACTATTTGGGAAATGCAGTCTGCTTTACTTTAACACCTACACTGGGAACAACCATAAGTCTTGAAAGCATCTCAAGGGCAAGAACATGGGAACATCATACAGGTCACTGTACCCACCTACCCCTTCCCCCCACAGTGCCTGGGGGAAACAAATGTTAGGGATACTCACCAAAGGTATTGGGGTACAAGGGTGATGGGGACCCATATGGGAGGCAAAGAGAAAAACTAAGTATTCCTAGGTAAAAGGAATCTAAGCTGAGAGTTCCCACTAATATCAGTGCTCATGTCTGCTTGTATTTCTCTTTCAGAATTTTGTCTCCAGAACTTTAACTCAGGTGTGAAGCCAGGGTTTCCCAAAACAATAAAAACCAACGACCCAGGAGTCCTCAAAGCTGCCAGATATACCGTTGAAAGATTTAATAACAGAACAAATGACATTTTCTTGTTCAAAGAGTCCCACATCAACCGAGCCCTGATTCAGGTGAGGGTCTAGATTTGCATTGCCAACCTCTTGGGGAAATCCTAGATACATGCTGCTGAAGAGTCAGTGTGCTTATAATCCTCTGTATTCTAGTACACATATCCATGCCAGAATTGGACACCAATGGCCATCAACAGCATATGTGGGCACTAACCTATGTCTCCCAGAGTCATGAAAAAAGTGCCCTGCTGTTCTCTTACTCAAACCATGTTCCTCCTGGAAGTGATCTGGTGTCTCAGCACATGAGTAGTAGAACCAACAAGATGGCAGAAGTTGCTAGGAGGTCAGGAGGATGACAGTAGAAAGAAAATTTCCACGGGCACAAAGCGAACCAGACAGTGCTCTGTGTCCACAGTGTCCACAGCACTCCAGAGTGCTTGGCACCCACAGCTGAACCAGTCTTGCCCGACTCCTCACTTGCAGGACAGCCTCAAAGAATGTCACATTCTTTCACATAGCTTTGGCCCACACTGCTCCCTCCTCCTTAGATAATTTCCCTTTTTCTGATAAGCCTAGACCCCTTCATCCAGGCTCTGAAGGAATGCTCACATGAAATCTGAGGCCTTTCCTATCAAGACAACAATCTCAGACCCTCAAGGATATTCCAGCACCCTTCATGATTCAACTCTGTGTCTCAGATATACACCAAGAACCTGACCCTGGTCAATGGCGCCAAGGATCCTGTCCTTTGTCAGGACCAGGGCCATAATGCAGCCACTCCCATCATAGCTAAGAATAGCTTCCAGGATATACACTTCCAAGAGTGTGTGGGTACATAGATAGTGAAAAAAGGAACACACACAGTCCTTCTCCAACACTAATATCCATTACATATTACTAATGATTACCTCTGTGTCATTGGATTACAGGTGACTTTTACTTCCTTATTTTTTGTGATTTATAAACTTTTTAAGAGTAACCATAGTTTTATAATTAGAGAAGCATATTGGGAAAGGCAGTCCTATAAATCTTTTCACAAAACAGCATTGGTAACATGTCACCACTCTAGGGTCCAACTCCAAGGCCTCAGAGGTTCCCTGCCTTCTCTGGATAACTCAAGTAGGAAAAGGTCCTCTGTGAGTAAGGACAGGGAAGCAATCCCTCTGGAGCTTAGTGATGTTGGGGAATATTTCATTTTATTTGGTAGAGAAGGATTAGTTAGAAGTAAGAATGAAGTAAAACAAGCATTCCCCACAGAGCAGTGTGGGAAATCTCTATGCGTCTTCTGCAGTAGATAGCATTGGTCCATGGTGGGTCTCTGTGGCCTGGGTTCAGTTGGTATGCTACAGGAATGGGTCATGGAAGCCCCAGAGCCACCTGGCCTGATGTTGCTCCTGAGTGCAGGGCTCTGGACAGAAAGGAGATGTCCTAGTGCAAGACACAAAGCCTACATCACCCAAATTCAGGATGGAGAGCAGCCCTGCAAATGGAACTGAAAACATGGTGGAGGGAAGGCTTTGGAGTCCCAGCAGGTCTCCTTCCGGAACTCAGGGCTCTCATTATTCACAGGAGAGGAAAGACTTGCCCCCAAATCCGAAAGGCATTTCTGATAAATCATTCAAAGATCTCTCCCTCTTCACATCTTTCGGATACCTTCCCAGATGCGCACCTGTTTATCATGTGCCCTAATGTCACCTTCTGCTATTGGAGGGGTAACAGGACCCTATCCCTTTCTTCCCTTCAGATAGTTAAAGGTCTGAAATACATGCTTGACATGGAAATTGCAAGAACTACCTGCAAGAAAACCAGGCATCCCAGTCTGGACAACTGTGACTTCCAAACCAACAACAGCTTGACACAGGTAAAACAAAGGTCTCTCGCCTTCTCAGTCCTGCTCGTTTCCTCCCTGCCCCACTTCCCAGGGCTCTGAGAGACACTCCTTCCATGTATCGGACAGCCTGGTCTCCATGCACAATCTACGTTATTGGTAGAAAGTGGAAGTGGAAACTCTTCCAAGAGAACACAAGAGTAAAGGCTGTGCTATCTTTTTTCTCAGACTACCTGCTTCTTTGGGGTCCTGGTATGACACTGTAGGATAAGCACTGGACCACCACAAGGTTAGTGGTTCAAATCCACCAGCTGCTCTTCAGAAACCTATACAGGGTTGCTGTGAGTCAGAACTGACCCAACGGCGCATAACAACCACCCACTTCTTTACTCCCCAAGGGTCACATGTTGTTGTTGTTGTTAAGTGCCGTCGAGTCGGTTCCAACCCATAGCAACCCTGTACAGGGTTTCTGAGGGTATAAATCTTTACGGGAGTAGAAAGCCTCATCTTTCTCCTGCAGAGCAGCTGGTAGTTTCAAACTGCTGACCTTAAGGTTCGCAGCCCGATTCGTAACCACTACAGTCACATATCCAGGAATAAACATGCAGGCTTCCGAGGGAAGAAAGTTGAGTGTAAGATAAATTTTGGATAATTCATAAATTCTTCCCTCCCCATACATATATAGGTATATGATCTATAGCTCTCCAGATATGTTTGCCTATCTGACTAATAGATACATAGAACACAAAAGAGCTCAAATGTAGCAAAATTTCACAGGCTGTAAATATAGGTGAAAGGTATGGGAGGGTATGTTAAAACTGTTTGACTCTCAGGTTTCTAGTTTGTAGGTGAATAGGTTCATTCCAAACAAAACATGTTTAAACATGTAATCAGTGGATGGCTGCAGACAGGTTGTCTCAGTAATATATTTGTCTTAGCCTTGTTAGGGTTTCTTCAACAAAGAGATCCAACAAAACAACTTCTGAGGGGTTCTGCTGGACCAATTCAATTCAAAGCAGAGAAGTCAGTTCAGGTTATGGTGACTGCTCTTTGGGACCCCAAAGGAGTAATCTTGATGGATTTTCTTGAAGGATACAAGATGACCACAAGGGTTTAGCAATACGTTTTAAGAAAACTGAAAATTTCACTGGTGAGAAAAAGGCCAGTATAATTAATTGCATGAAGAAATTTTTTTCCCATCACAACAAAGAACTTACAAATTTTTCAAGGGTAGCAAGAATTGTCCTATGAGGATCTTATTGGAAAATCCTACCCCATTTACCCTACTGCCCTGATCTTGTTGCCCCTTTCTACTTCTTTTTGTTTCAAAAACTCAACATTTAAACAAACAAACAAACAAACACACAATTTGAATCTCTCATGGCTGACATTTTGACATGGTATAAATTGGAGTGTGGAATTCTTTGGGGAAGTGTTAGAAAGATGGAAACATCATCTTCATATGTATTCACATGTTGTTGTTGTTGAGTGCCATCGACTTAATTCCGACCCATAGCGACCTGACTTTGCAGTTCGGGGCATTAAACAACAGAGCCACACCAGGATTCCATAGATCGACACAGACAAAGGATAGGTCAAAAAACAAATGTCACATCTTGGTATATTGTGTTTAACAAAAGTTTCTATGATTTTGAATCAATAGTTTTTTTACTTACTGTTATATAATCTTGAAACATCTTTTTCAATTTTTATGTAGTTTTCAAATTTTCCACAAAAACCCCAACAAACTTAAAGGGGGGTGGGGGTGGCACATAGAACTCCTCAGTGAGGAAAATGCACAGTGGCCAATTCTGCATACTACAGAGGCACTGGGGAAGTTAGGGGATGTGTATGCCAGGAGGTTGCATTCAGTTGTGACCTCAGCACAGGTCAAGTGACCTTCAACTGTGCTCCTCTGTTTACAGACATTCAGCTGCTACTCTGAAGTCTGGGTCGTCCCCTGGCTCCACAAGTTCACGGTGCCTGTTCTCTGCTGCCAGTGACATTCTTATCTTCCACAAGACTGCAGCTGCAACAAGCATGTGCTCATCCTCTCTGATCCTTTGTCACAACTTCATTACTCAGCTACCAGACACCCTTGTTGTTGTTGTTGTCAGGTGCCATCG